TTTGAGACAGAGTTTCTCTTGTCCCCCAGGCTGGAGTGCAATGGCATGATCTTGGGCTCACTGCAAACTCCACCTTCTGGTTTCAAGTGATTCTCCTGCCTCAGCTTCCCAAGTAGCTGGGATTACAGGCACCCGCCACCACACCCGGCTCATTTTTATATTTTTAGCAGACATGGGATTTCACCATGTTGGCCAGGCTGGTCTCGAACTCCTGACCTTGTGATCCGCCCGCCTTGGCCTCCCAAAGTGCTGTGATTACAGGGGTGAGCCACCCAGCCTTCTGATTTTTAAATATATTCTATCAATACATTTAACAGAATGATATGAGTTCTTTAAGGTGATTATACTGTTCTCAGAAATTAAAGTTATATTATTTGCAACTATTTATGAAAAAATAGATGTTAACTTTAAAATGAATGAGAAGTATCTAGCATCTAGTTTTTTCAGATGTTCATTAGCCAGGTGTAGTGGTACGTTCCTGTAGTCCCTGCTACTCAAGAGGCTGAAGTGGGAGAATCACTTAAGCCTACGAGTTCAAGGCTGCAGTAAGCTAGGGTGGTGACAGTGTATGCTAGCCTGGGTGACAGAGTGAGTGAAAGCCATTGCATTGTGTGAAACTTGCAGTGCCCAGAAAAGCAAAAATGAAAATTATTTCCTCCCACTCCTCTTTAATTGCATCTGTTCATAGGTACACATAGACCTGTATAATTTTTACAGTTGGGAAAAAATGCTTTTGCTAGTGAAATATTCAATTTTAAAATGAGATAAAATGAAAAACAGGATTTTAAATTTAAGAGCCAATCTTTCAGATTCAATTTTTTTCTAGGTAAAGTAAGGTATACATAAGCTTGTCTGGCGAAAATGCACCATTATGCAGAAAACAGACTAGGTCTTTTATTTTATTTTATTTTATTTTTTGAGACAGGGTCTTGCTCTGTTGCCCAGGCTGGAGTGCAATGACATAATCTTGGCTCACTGCAACCTCTGCTTCCAGGGTTCAAGCGATTCTCCTGCCTCAGCCTCCCATGTAGCTGGGATTACAAGTGTGTGCCACCACGCCCAGCTAATTTTTGTATTTCTAGTAGAGACAGGGTTTTGCCATGTTGCTCAGGCTAGTCTCGAACTCCTGACCTTGTGATCTGCCTGCCTCAGCCTCCCAAAGTGCTGGGAATACAGGCGTGAGCCACCATGCCTAGCCACTAGATCTCTTTTTAGTTACTTGAAATCTGGATAGAATACAGAAATCTTTCAGGCATATTAAGCTCCTTTTCTCAACTGGCCTGGAAACAATTTGAGGGCAGGAATTAATCCTGTGCTTACTATTCAATTATAGGTACAGAATAAATAGTTCTGCAAACACTTTGCAACAGCAGTTCTGGATGATGAATGAGGGGCTCCACTAACATGAAAAAGTGTCAGTTTTGCAAAGAAAATACTTATACATAGTACAAAATTCAGAAAGCCCAAAAGAGAGAAGTCGGTTTTTTGTTTTTTGTTGTTTTTTTTTTTGAGATGGAGTCTCACTCTTATTGCTCAGGCTGGAGTTCAATGGCGCAATCTTGGCTCACTGCAATCTCTGCCTCCCAGGTTCAAGCAATTCTCCTACCTTAGCCTCCCAAGTAGCTGGGACTACAGGCACCTGCCACCACGCCCAGCTAATTTTTGTATTTTCAGTAGAGACAGGGTTTTGCCATGTTGCGCAGGCTGGTCTCTTAACTCCTGACCTCAGGTGATCTACTGCCTCCGCCTTCCCAAGTGCTGTAATTACAGGCATGAGCCATCGTACCTGGCCCGTTAAGTTTTGTAATGTATATCTTTTGTTCCCTTTGAATTCTACCATGTGCGAGAATTACCTACTTAACGTGGAACAACCAGGCCAAAATGCATATACATCTTTAAATTGATTAGTAGCTACTTTGACTTGCCTAAAAACGTGCCAGTGTATCTGCTCAGCAGCGCCTTGGTGGGTGCCTGTTTCCCCGGCCCCTCCCTTTGGCTAACCGTACATCATGGAATCTTCAGGCTCTCCTTGTCGGTGACCATTTAACAAGCATGGTGATGGTACAGCCCCTTCCTGTTTAAACAGCAGGGGACTCTCTTGTTCTGTTGCAGGCCAGACGGGCGCAGGGAACAACTGGGCGAAGGGGCACTACACGGAGGGCGCGGAGCTGGTGGACGCGGTGCTGGATGTGGTGCGGAAGGAGTGCGAGCACTGCGACTGCCTGCAGGGCTTCCAGCTTACGCACTCGCTGGGCGGCGGCACGGGCTCGGGCATGGGCACGCTGCTTATCAGCAAGATTCGCGAGGAGTTCCCGGACCGCATCATGAACACCTTCAGCGTCATGCCCTCGCCCAAGGTGTCGGACACGGTGGTGGAGCCCTACAATGCCACGCTGTCGGTGCACCAGCTGGTGGAGAATACCGATGAGACCTACTGCATCGACAACGAGGCGCTCTACGACATCTGCTTCCGCACCCTCAAGCTGACCACGCCCACCTACGGGGACCTCAACCACCTAGTGTCAGCCACCATGAGCGGGGTCACCACCTCGCTGCGCTTCCCGGGCCAGCTCAACGCCGACCTGCGCAAGCTAGCGGTGAACATGGTGCCCTTCCCACGCCTGCACTTCTTCATGCCCGGCTTCGCGCCGCTCACTAGCCGCGGCAGCCAGCAGTACCGGGCCCTGACCGTGCCCGAGCTCACCCAGCAGATGTTCGACGCCAGGAACATGATGGCCGCCTGCGACCCCCGCCATGGCCGCTACTTGACCGTGGCCACCGTGTTCCGCGGCCCCATGTCCATGAAGGAGGTGGACGAGCAGATGCTGGCCATCCAGAGTAAGAACAGCAGCTACTTCGTGGAGTGGATCCCCAACAACGTGAAGGTAGCCGTGTGCGACATCCCACCCCGCGGCCTGAAGATGGCCTCAACGTTCATCGGCAACAGTACGGCCATCCAGGAGCTGTTCAAGCGCATCTCCGAGCAGTTCTCAGCCATGTTCAGGCGCAAGGCCTTCCTGCACTGGTTCACGGGTGAGGGCATGGACGAGATGGAGTTCACCGAGGCGGAGAGCAACATGAACGACCTGGTGTCTGAGTACCAGCAGTACCAGGATGCCACCATCAATGATGGGGAGGAAGCTTTTGAGGATGAAGAAGAGGAGATGGATGGATAGGTAGAATAGAGGAGCCGCCCCAGCTCAGATCCTACAATAGGCAAGTTCCTTCTTGAACCCTGGTGCCTTCTACCCCATGGCCCTGAATGGTGCACTAGCCTAGGTGTGTTGGTGTTGGTCCCTCACAAATGCAGCCAAGTCACATAATCAGTCATCTGGAACAAAGACAATACTTTAAAACAGCAGAGAATTGTGCGTTCTACCCAGTCAGAAGATAATACTATGGAGACTTTCTACTAGAGGACTTGAAAGAGAACTGAGGGGCCACAAAATAAACTTCACCTTTCATTAAGTGTTCAAGCATGTCTGAGAATTAGCAGGGGAGTTAGAAACAGTCATTTTCATCCTTTGTGATGAAGGCTGAAGCTGTGCCGTGTTGCCTTATTTGAATATGCAGTATGGGACTTTGAAATAATTGATTCATAATAAAATACTAAATGTGTGTCTTCATCTCTCTAGCCATGTGCATACATAAGTTACTTTGTATGATTACAATGGCTGCTCTGGTCACTGGTCTCCCTGGGGTGAACTCCTCCCCTCCTCCAGTTTACTAAAACAACAGAGCAAACAGATCTTTAAATGGAGGTGTTAAGGGGGCAGCCAAAACTGTGCACAGCTGAAAAGCAATGCAGCACAAACAAAAGCCCCTCTTCCCATCCACAGCCACCTTTTAGACTCCCATAGAATCTTGCATTTTCCCAAGTCAGATCCTGGGCTAGGGTTCCCTAACCTAGCCAAGGAGCCACAGGAAAGGCCTTTGGGTCTCCAGACAAAGCCAGGGGTGCTGGGCAGGAGCTGGGGCACCAGCAGCCAGCCCTGTGTAGAGGGATGGACCATTTTCTGCTGTAACCCATCACACTTGATGGCCATGTCTTTGGAGTTTCCAAAGACAAACGACGGGCACAGGCAGTAGCTTCGTTACTGCCTAGTACAGACCCCACTGTTCACAGCATTTCTGCTTTACTTCTTCCTGCGCTCCTGAAGCTGTGAACACGGGACTTACTCCAGCCACAAGAATGAGCATAGCGTGTCATCAGCAGTTGGAAGCATCATGTGCCAGTCATGTGCCCTACTGCTCTGCCTCCCATGTAGGCAGGCCCCCAGTCCCTCCTGTCCACCTATCTGGGTCCCTGGGTGACCATCCTGGGCAGAACCCGCTGTGGCCTGTGTTGGACAGGCAATGAGAGACAGACAAAGCTTTGTCATTTGGGGACACTGAGGGTCAGGGTTCCCACAGCACAACCACAATGCCCTCAGTCTGTGATCCCAGGCCTTACGTTCACTAGCTGTATTTATTTTGTGTTAAGCCCCAGCCTTGGGCAGATGGAAAGTTCATCACTAAACACAGCAGCATGGCTTGAGGTGATCACAGATCTTTTTGCATAAATCTGAACTGAGACCACAGTAAAAATAAATCTTACCAGCTCACCACCCACATCTGTCCCAGAAACATGCTGCGTGTGGCCGTGGAGAGGAAAAGATCTATGCGTGAGCGGGCCCCACGTGGCAGTGGCACAGGTAGCCACTGTTCTTCCTAGCACAGAGGGCCACTTGCACAGGCTGAGCAGCAGCTCTAGGCCACACTGGCGGCCATCGAGTGCCTGGAGCTTAAGGTGGCTCACTTCACCAGAAACACAGGTGATGTAGGTACTGTCTGACTTTTGTCACTTTTTTTTTTTGAGACGGAGTCTGTGTCACCCAGGCTCACTGCAACCTCCACCTCCTGGGTTCAAGCAATTCTGCCTCAGCCTCCCGAGTAGCTGGAATTACAGGCGCCCACCACCATCCCTGGCTAATTTTTGTATTTTTAGTAAAGACAGGCTTTCACCATGTTGGCCAGGCTGGTCTCGAACTTCTGACCTCAGGTGATCCACCCACCTTGGCCTCCCCAAGTGTTGGGATTACAAGCGTGAGCCACCGCACCTGGCCTCTTACTGTCTTTGTCACTCTTACTGTATCAAGCCTGACTCACAGTAGGCCACATTCTGATCCCCCGGGAGGCCTCACAGCCAAGGCCTGTGAGAGGGCAGCCCACGCTTGCTCCATGCCTTGCAGTGGTGGGGTAAGGGGTAAGAGCGTCTCCTAATCGTCTACCGCCTGTGTGGTAAAAAGCACAACCAACATCCTCATGACTGTGTGAGCCTCAGCCTGGAAACAATGCTTCCATTCGGCACCTCTCGAAAATGCCCTATGAGGAAAGAAGCTGGCCAGTGTAACATGCCGGCAGGCCACCGAGACTGGCAGGTGCAGAGGTCAAGCTGGGGGTGGTCATTCTCCTGGCATGCTGAGCCTGTGGAGTCCAAACAGCTGCTTCCATGGCCTGCCAGAGGACAGGTGGGTACCTAAGGCTGCTGGGAAGTGGCCACAGATGGAGCATGTGTGGCCTGGGGCCATGGCAGCGATGCCACTGGATTGTGTTAATTCTAAGTCGCTGTTCCCACATCAACACCACACAAAGCAAGCTGGAGTAATGTTAAGATACTACTAAAAATGTAAATAGTTAAAAATGCCAGTGTCTCCTCCATGTACAAATAACATCTGATTGAAGACTTAGCAGATCTTCCTCATGCCGTCTTTTTCTAGGAATTTTGATATAGGTTTGCAACACTGCAGACTCACTTTTCTGGAAGCACATACACCAATAACTCCCTTCTAGCAGAGAATAGGAGCAGCTTACCATTCAGACCACTCTTGAGATGTCCTCAGAGATCC